ATGCTTTGGAGAATAGCTTGATTGACTCCCTCTTCTTTGTGGCAACCCCTGAGATATTGGACCACTGCTATCATGTCTCCCACCCGGTCCTTCTCTTCACTAGACTAACCATGCCCAGTTCCTGCAACCGTTCTTCATACGTTTTAGCCTCCAGTCCCCTAATCCTCTTGGTTGCTCTTCTCTGCACTCTTTCTAGAGTCTCCACATCTTTTCTACATCGTGGCAACCAAAACTGAATGCAGTGTTCCAAATGTGGAATACTATCTTGACAACAGCAGGGGTTCACTTAATGACTGCAACAAGAGAGGCTGTAAAATTTGTCATTGATGTTTCACTCAGTAACATAAATGTTGGGCTCGATTGGGCGGCCCTATGTCAAGGACTACCTGGGTTTGACTTGTGCCTCGTACTCACCTTTTCATTAGCCAGGTGCAAGAGGCAGGCAAAGGCCAATGGGACCGAGAGGTTTTTTGCCATCATGGAAGGCAGGCTGCAAGACAGAACAAATTGCCGTCAACTCTGAAGCTGGCCTGACTGAGAGCATTTTGAGACTTCTGTGTTGCCACACTGGAGTGGGGAGGGGGGACGGGACACAGAGATAGCTGGGGGTTTGTGGCCAAAACAAAATACTTTCTTGTGGGAACCAAGGACATTCCCACAGGTGGCGGAAGAGAGGAGGAGCAAAGTTACCAAGCAACTGGACGGCACTTGGACTGTTTGGGGATGGGGAAAAAAAAGATTTTTACTTTGAATTAGGTGAAAACTGTGGGAATATTCAGAGTCGGTTTTCACCAGATGGGTGTATATATCCGATAAAAGTATTATTTGAGGAACCTGCCTGCCTCGGAATCCTGCTTCCTTTGTGGGTATCACTTGGAACCCTGGCATTGTGATAGCAATAGCCCTTAGACTTATATGCCACTTCACAATGCTTTTACAGCCCTCGCTAAGCTGTTTATAGAGTCAGCCAGCAAGTCTTCCAATTACTGCCACGCATACGTAGGCACCGATCAGCTGGCCAGTGCGCATGCTCACACCAGAAAACAGAAGACCAGCTCTTCCAGTTTCCGGCACTGCCAGATGCACAAAGGCCAGCTGATCCTCATGTGGGCATGTGCGCCAGAAACCCAGAAGAGGAAAGGGAGACACCATGCATGCCAGGTGACATGGCTCCATGTGCCACTTCGGGCATGAGTGCCATAGGTTCACCATCATGGTCCTATGGGGTGGACCTGTTTCGAGCAGGGGTTCCAGAGGCAGGTTCCTGCCTGTTTGGCCCGGATTAGGCGAACCAGTTGTAGCAGCAGCAGGAGGCTCCGCTCACCCACCCGGACGCTTCTGCACATTGGCAACCCCGCCACTGGGTGGAAATTAGCATTTCTTCATCTCACTTCCTGGCATTTGACAAAGAGTTTTGAAACCCTAAGAAAGGGCCTATGACAATTTGCCACGGTCAACTGGCTGCAGGACAAGAATTACAATAATATCAAAGAAATAGTGGAACAGAATCATATTGAAGAAAGAATGCAAAAGGAGGGACAGAAGGCAATATGAATGGCAAACATTGAAATCATTTATTTATCTATTTATATAAAACTGCGTGTGTGTGTGTGTGCGTGTGCGCGCGTGCTCCAGGCAGAACTCTGGAATGCCTCGAGCAATTTCAACCAAACTTGGTACACAGATGACTTACTCTCTGGAAACAAATACTATGGGGGTAAGACCCCCCTAACACTCCTCTGTTAAGATACAGGCTGTTGTGCCTTAAAATGGCTTCTACCATACTGCCGTAAAATGGTTTCTATTGTTCAGTGCAGTGGAGTTGCCATGGTAACAGCTTCACAGTACTCTACAAGGGAGGCTCCCTCTGGTAAGGGGGAAAATCCAACATTAGAAATTACATTTGGTCCTGACATTTCCCCCCTATAAATAAATACCTGGGCAACACCAGGTTATCAGCTAATTTTAAATAATTAAAATAGAATTGTATAAAATTGTCCCATTCCGCCTGGAAAATACCTTTGAAGTAGGTCCTTGGTGATGCTACTGAAGACCTTCGGGACGGATGAAGAGTTGACCTTTTTCTCTGTTCCTTCACTCTGCGGAAGGAACATTGAAATAAAAGCAGTCAGACCTCTTCTAGGCAGGACTTGCTGTGTTTTGATCATGTCAATGGCTAGTCTAGGGAAGAACCAGGGGAGACAGGATAGCATCTTCCAATATTTGAGGGGCTGCCACAGAGAGGAGGGAGGGGGGTCAGACTATTCTCCAAAGCACCTTTGAAGGCCAGAAAAGGAACAATGGATGGAAACTGATCCAGGAGAGATTCAATCTGGAAATAAGGAGGAATTTTCTGACAGTGAGAACAATCAACTGATGGAACAGAAG